GGCGCAGGGGAGGGGGCCGCGCCTCTGACTTAATGCTGGAACCATCCACGTCACATGCGGCCCCGCGCGGGTTAACCCCTCGGAGTCCGGGAGCCCCCTGATTCACCCCAGCCCCCTATCTCAGGCAACCCGGGAGAGGGGGAGGAAGCAGCTTCTCTCAAAGACCCGCGGGGAGTCGGCGGGGTCCTTTTTGTCTGCCAATCCGGCTGAGTCCCATGCTCAGAGCAGCACCCTTGGTCTTGAGACCCGGCCTAGAGGCTTTTTCTTGGCCCTTGCCAGGTGAGGCGGCGCGGGCAACAGAAATAGCCTCCTCTGCCTCCAAACTGTCAGCCAACAAACACTCTTAGGCCTGGTCTTCTGCTTTCAGCCAAGGATGAGAGCGGAGAGGTTAGGCAGGGGCTGGGCTAGGACTTTCCCGAGTTCTCTTTGCAAGCCTCAGGCAGGAGCTGGAAAACCATTGCCCACAACAGAAAGTCTTGCCTTAGAGAGCTCATGTTTCTCACAGGGAGAAGAATCATTGGGAGCAGTGTCAGGTTGTGTGGAAATAGCTCGCAACTGGAATGGGGAGCTTGGGCTCTTTGGTGGACACTGTGGTTAATAAGCTGTGGAACCATCAACTGGCCACTTAGTGTCCTTATTTATGAATGTGGAAGTTGGGCTGAGTAAACCTTAAGAGTCCTTCTATATATTCTTGGTGGGTTTCAGATGCAGAGACAGGTTGAAGCCAGGGCTAGAGCTGACAGGGAGACTTGAAGGGACAGCTCAGGACAGAGCAAGGTCCAGCAGTGGCAGCCTTTGGGGCATGTGGAGGAGTTAGCAGAGGTGCCAGTTTTCTGTTTGAGCAGCAGGCATGGAGTGAACACCTTTCAGTGGGCAAATGATCTGGAAGTGCCTGGAGATCCAGTAGAAAAGGGGCGGTCTGCATCTCAGACCTCACCTCCCGCTGCCCCAGGCTGTCACTTTGGAGGGGGTTGAGGGTACAACTGCATCTCCTACCAGTTGAGTCTCACAATCCAAAAGCATAGGGTTAGGACAGTAGCTTAGATTTTCTGAGCTGAGAAACAACCCCCACCCTACCTAAGATCTGAGAAGAAATACCCGAGGGCCCTAGGACCCTGCTCACTTCCCTCTGGGTGAGGCGCCCTTGGTCTGGGCTAAACTGTTTTAGTTTTCAAGTCCTCTAGAGAACTAGGGAAAGGGGCAGGGAGTCAAACATCATTTGTATTTCATTTGAATTCTCAATTTTTAAAGGAATCCAAGAGGCTGGTGTGAACACCTCCCTCTTCTTCTGGAGGCTTAGAGGGGGTTTCTTGGCTGTCCTCAGCTGGAGTTGGGCTGTAAATCCAGGCCAAACAGGAACCAGGAGCCTTGCATCTCACAAGGAGTCATTAAGCCATTATTAAACATACCGTGACTTCTCTGAAACCTTATTGGTTTAAACACTACATTGGAGGCATTGTGGCCATTAGGGCCCCTGATCACAGTCTGCAGACTGGGCAGTGAGATGGGAGCATCTGGGGCTGGGATTTCCAGCCAAGAGGGAGGCTCAACTCAGAAGTAAGATTCCCCTCTGGCCTCACCAGGGGAATCCATTCTCCAAGATCCAGTGGATCCCAGCCCTGGGCAACATAATTGTATCAATCGCTTTTGCCCATTAATAAAGTTTTTCAATAGTTGTTGATTGGATATTATTGACTTTTTAGGGAAATGTTAGTGTCATTTCAGGACACCTGTTCAACAGAGGCATCCCTGGTGGTGCAAACAGCTGGTGGTTCGAACTCACGCAGAGGTGTCTTGGAAGAAAGGCCTGGCGATCTACTTCTGAAAGGTCACAACCTGGAAAACCCTATGGAGTGCAGTTCTACTCTGAAACACATGAGGTTGTCATGAGTTGGAATTGGCTTGAGGGCAACTGGTTTTTGGTTTTATTCAACAAAGTTATCAAGCAGCTTACTATGGAGGATGAAAGTATGACACAAGAAACGTGTAACCAACAGTTTAAACAAGGCAGCCTGATTTAAACAAATGCCAAGTCTTTTGCCTCAGGTGATAACCTTTCTGAGCCTCAATTTCCTCATCATAAAAATAGGGGACTCACATGCATGTAAGGTATTCAGAAGCACTCCTGTTTTGATGGGTGCAATGTACTTTGTTAATTGAAGAGATGATGGTGATGGTGATGATGATGATGATGATGATGATTGTTACTACAGTCTTCAGAAATGACAGCAGCCCAGATCTCTTGGTTCTATCACTGAATCAGTTGAAGGCTCCTTGCTCCAACTGAATGGGCCGGGGGCAGAGGCTGAGCAGAGAGACCCAGGGGTCTGCACCCCTTCCCAAGCCCAGATGTCCCTCATGACATTCTCCCACCCTTCAAACAGAACAAATTTTCTTACTAAGATGGTGTTTTGAATTGAGCTGAGAAGGGAGGAAGTCCCAGATCACATGCAAATTGGATGGGTAGATGGAGTTGCCCACCCTGGGAAAGTGTTTTCCTAGAACCATGAAAGACAGGGCAGTAAGGGGAGATGTTCTTGCTCCTCTTTTTAACCACTAGTGCAAATGCTTATCTTTATCCATATATGGTCTGGAAAGAGTTGGATGGGGCAGATTCTCAGTGACCTTCCAGGATGTAGAAAATGCTGAAAGGGTGACCTCAGAGTTGCTAAAAATTCCTTCTAGGAGGGCCAGAAGACCTCCAAAACCCAAAAACCCATTGTTGTCAAGTTGATTCCAACTCATAGCAACCCTATATAACATGAGGAGACCTCAGAGGCCCTCATTTTACAGATAAAAACAACAGCCAACACTTAACGTCATACTTACGGTGTGCCAGGCACTACCTGATGTATCCTATAGACATTGATTTATTGATTCCTCACACTAATGCCATGAGTTAGTGTTATGGATTGAATTGTGTCCTCCAAAAATATGTATTGTAATTCCTGACCTGTATGCCTGTGGTTATAAGCTCATTTGGGAATGGGTTGTCTTTGTTATGTTAATGAGGCAGGATTAGTGTACGGTATGTTTTGAGTCAATCTCTTTTAAGATATAAAAGAGATTAAACAAGCAAGCCAGAGAAGCAAAGATGAGGAAGAGAGATGCCGAGCAACATGAAGATTGCCCAGGAGCAGAAGCTCAAAGAGACAAGGACCTTCCATGAGAGCTGACAGAGAGCTGGTTCCTTGAATTTGGACTTCTAGCCTCCTAAACTGAGAAAATAAATTTCTGTTTGTTAAAGCCACCCATTTGTGGTAATTCTGTTACAGCAGCACTAGATATCTAAGGCAGAATTTTGTACCGGAAGAATAGGGTTCTGCTGTAACAGATACCAGATACAAAATGTGGAACAATTTTGGAATTGGATAATGGGTAGAGGCTGGAAGAGTTTTAAGGTACCTAACAGTAAAAGTCTAGATTGCCTTAAAGAGACTGTTGTTAGAATTATGGATGTGAAATGCGATTCTGATGAGGGCTCAGAAGAAAGTGAGGAGAGCTATAGAGAAAGTCTCTATCGTCTTAGAGAATACATATGGCACCAGCAACAGGGTGTTAAATGTGCCTCTGGTGATGCTTTAAAAGAAAATAATCAACATGTGATTGGACAAGGGAGAAAGGGTGATGCTTTTTATGCAGTGGCAAAGAACTTGTCTGAATTATGTCCAAATGTTTGGTGGAAGGTAGAACTTGTAAGTGATGAACTTGGATATTTAGCTGAGGAGATTTGTCAGCAAGCTCTTAAAGAGGCTGTGTTGTTTCTCCTTGTCCCTTATAGTTAAATGTGAGAGGAAAGTGATGGACTTAAAAATGAACAGTGCAGAATGTAAACAAAACTTAAAGATTTGGAAAATTCTGTTGTATAAACTAAGGACACATGTCCTAGAATTTTCATCAAGGAGGCAGCTACATAATCTTTTGTTAAATGGATTAAGCATGTGACTGATGGATCTAATCAACTACCACAGCCTAAAACCTATCACCTGAGACTGAAGGGGTCAGAGACAGGATGAAAGGAAAGAACACTATCTATCTCTTGGAATTCTACAGGCAGGAAACAAACCAAAGGAGCTACATCTGTAGCTCCAAGAAAAGAAAAGGATCATCCCTGGAGCAGCTGGGAGATCAGCAGAACTATTGGAAGGGGCATGAAAAGCAAGGCCTTCTCTGTTTCAAAGGATAGGGGCAGCAAAGGATCTCAAACGGTGGGCCACAGCCACCTGGGTTTCAAAGAGTGGGGTTTTCACCAACTCGGCTCTGGAGTGTGGGGCTGCTGTTAAGGTGTACCAGGGTGATGGGGTCACTGCCCAAAGCTGAGGGGGTGGGGCTGCCATGCCCAAGGGGCAAAAGAACAGGGGCTGCCAAGGCCAAGGGGGTGGGGTCACCACTCAGATAGACTGGGAGAATGGGGTCACCTAAAGCCAAGAGAGCAGAGTTGCAGTCCCAGTGGGCCTAGAAGGTGGTGCTGAACCCAAGGCGGAGGGGCCTCTACCCAGAATCTGGAGGATGTGGCCAACAGGCAGAGTTTGGAGGGCAGGGCCATTGCCTAGATGGTCTTAGAGAACAGAGGATTATTTTCAAGACTTGAGAGCTAATGTAGATTGTTCTGCCTGGTTTTGGACTTGCTTGGTGCCCATCATCCCTTCTTTTCTTCCAATTTCTCCCATTTGTAATGGAAATGTATACCT